GCCACAAGTTGAAATCTAAAAAATCAACAAGGCTATAATTCTATTAAATTTGGTCGCAGCAAAAATTCCTTCCTTTACTACCATCTACACATTAAGGTTGTTCATCCCTGGAAGTTTAAGGCAAAATCTGCCATCCGGTTTAAGAGGAGTTTGAGTTCACAAAATTTCTACATAGTATATAGTGAACAAAAACTCAACAAAGGGCCATAATTCTGTTAAATTTGGTCGCAGCAAAAATTCCTTCCTTTACTACCATCTACACATTAAGGTTGTTCATCCCTGGAAGTTTAAGCGAAATCTGCCATCCGGTTTAAGAGGAGTTGCGTTCACAAAATTTCGGGACGTACGGACGGACGGACACTCGTACGGACAAGTGCAACGCTATATGCTCCCACTTTGTGGGGGCATAAAAACACCTGTACCCTGATGCATTCTTTTTTTTTTAAATATGCCAATAAATCTCTTGAAATACCTCAATTACATATTACATTACTATCTTTTTTTTCATGATTGGGTTTTACATCACATCAACACAGTACAGGTCACATGGTTTACTGGTGGGGGAAGACCTCAAATATCCTTCTGTCCTTTATTTCAACACAAACAAGCACCTTAGTAGAACCACTGAAGTTCTGTAAGCTTGCCAGATAGCTTTCTCACATGGAAGTATCCAAAGATGCTTAGGTGATCAAATATACAGCGGTGAAGCAAGTGATGGAAGTTAACAACCTCAACCACTCAGGCACTGAAGCTCTTTTATAACTCAATATCAATTATCAACCTATATAGTCATAATGTCAACGTTGTAGTGATGCTGGAAGCTTCATGAACTGCAGTGCTTCCTTACCTGACTTTACTTCCAAGAATTTCGTAGATTGGAAATCCATTAGATTTTCCAGTTACTCCATAAAAAATCTGCAGATGAATTCCATCGGTAATGTTGTAACAAATTCCTGTGCGGTTGTCAACTGGGCTCAAACCTAATGGGAAATACTCACTGAGATCACAACTGGATTTCAAGTCATCCCTGTTAAAATTGAGCAAAAAAATTCATTGTTTTCAACATGATTAAAATCTCCAAAAACATTTAAGAAAGAAAATTGCTGATATACTGTTAAGAATTTATTCATATATTAAGCATAACTACATGTACTTGTATAAACCTGGGTTTACCCAAAATAGCTAACAAACTGTTTAAGTAACAATTTTGTGACTTGGCATTTCCTTTAACTAGAAATATAGAATCAGTTGTTGTTTTTTTAAAAAAATGAAAATGTGTGCTAATGTTTATTCATAATATAAAACAAATTGAACTATCATATTGACCACTAAACTATCATATTGATCACTAAACTGTCATATGGACCACTTAACTGTCATATTGAACACTGAACTGTGGTATAAACCACTAAACTCAGTAAACTGTCATATTGACCACTGAACTGTCATATGGACAACTGAACTGTCATATGGACCACTGAATTGTCATATGGACCATTGAATTGTCATATGGACCACTATACAGTCATATGGACCACTATTCAGTCATATGGACCATTAAACTGTTATATGGACCCCTTAACTGTCATATTGACCACTGAACTGTCATATTTACCACTAAACTGTCATATTAACCACTGAACTGTCATATAAACCACTAAACTGTCATATAAACCACTAAACTGTCATATAAACCACTAAACTGTCATATTAACCACTGAACTGTCATATAAACCACTAAACTGTTATATTAACCACTGAACTGTCATATAAACCACTAAACTGTCATATTAACCACTAATAATGGCCTTTATACTACTATTTAAAATCATGTTATGAACAAAAAAAATAAAAGAAAACAAGAATAGACTCTTACCTGAGAACCTCAAGCCAGTATCCTCTGTTAGCATTATCATTGTAACCACGACGACCAATCAAATTTGATGGCATCAGGTTGTTCAGTCTATTTATGATCAACTTCCTGAATAACATTTGAAAAACCATTTACAATTATTATAAAGAATAATTTTCTTTAAACCATAAAAATAAGTTTGGGTCTATGACATATTTACTTTATTAGTTATACAGTCAGTGACATTCAAGGATCACTGCCATACTGACTGTTTGCCCACCTGTAGGAAAACCTGCACAATTGGTTCGCCGCAACTACCAATGACCAGAAAGTAAGCTGGACAGCTTCATCCAATGAACAAATTCAATATCCCAAACAGCAAAGTAAGACAATCTGTACTTTATCATTATGAATATGAATTGTTATGAAATATATAATAACGTTTTCAAATAATACATGTATAATGTTGGCTGTTAAGTATTAGTACATGTACTTGAATGTTTCAATCGAATTCCCTTATCTCTTAACTGAATTAATAATGGATAGCTTCAAATTCTCTTCATTACATAAATTCTAAAGGTTAAATAGAGAACCAATAATAATATCATACCTTAAACCAGAGCAGTCAGAAAACTCTGCATGATTTAACATCAATTTACACCGAGTGGTGATATCCTCTTGAAACTTTATACTCCTTCTTCCAGCGTTCCTACACAAACCATCTGCAGCTAAAACAACAACAGCAACAACAATACAGCAACAACAACTAGAACTGCCACTATCATGGCTTGAATAACCCCGCATACCACTTTGTCAGAATCAACAGTGGCCATTTAGAGCTCAAGGACAACCTCCCTGCCAAATCTGAGGTTACTAAGCCAGTGCATTGTTAAGTTATGTATTCTACATGCTTCAAATGTGAAAATGTCAAAATCAATACACTGCGGACATGCATTCTTTAGCAATTGAGAAGAAAAGCTTTTTTTTGTCAAGGTCCCTGTGACCTTGACCTTTGACCCAGTGACCTCAAAATCAATAGGGGTCACCTTATGGTCATGATTAACATCCATGCCAAATATGAAGACTGTGGGTCAAAGGAATCTTAAGTAAATGGGTGGACAAACTTTTTGAAGTCAAAGTCCCTGTGATCTTGACCTTTGATCCAGTGACCTAAAAATCAAAAGGGGTCATCTACTAATCATGACTAACCTCCATTCCAAATATGAAGACTGTGAGTCAAAGGAATCTAAAGTTATTGGGCAGACAAGCTTTTTATAATCAAGGCCCCTGTGACCTTGACCTTTGACCTCAAAGTCAATAGGGGTCATCTACTAATCATAATTAACCTCCATGCCAAATATGAAGACTGTGGGTCAAAGGAATCTTAAGTTATTGGGCGGACAAGCTTTTGAAGTCAAGGCCCCTGTGACCTTGACCTTTGACCTCAAAATCAATAGGGGTCATCTACTAATCATGACTAACCTCCATGCCAAATATGAAGACTGTAGGTCAAAGGAATCTTAAGATATTGGGCGGACAAGCTTTTTGAAGTCAAGGCCCCTGTGACCTTGACCTTTGACCTGGTGACCTCAAAATCAATAGGGGTCATCTACTAATCATGACTAACCTCCATGCCAAATATGAAGACTAAGGGTCAAAGAATTCTTAAGTTATTGGGCGGACAAGAAAAAACCGACGGACAGCCGGCCGGACGGACAGCTGGACAATTTGATTCCAGTATACCCCCCTTACAACTTTGTTGTGCGGGGGTATATAAGTTATCTATACAAAAGTATAAGCTTTTTCTTCCATGTTATATCATTTTTGGTCAAAAAGTTCAATTCCGAAAACAAAAAAAGTATGTCTTTTTCATACCTTGACTTTTAGGATGTTTCCAAACTTAAGGCATGTCTCCTAAATATTTAGAGCATAGAACTGGACAGAAAAATGTATTTTTTAGCTTCAAAGACCTTGACCAATTCAATCTCAAGCCCTGGAAAGGTTCATTCAATAAGCTACAACCTACTTATCTACAGGTGAGATATGATAATACATGTAGTCATTGAATAAATATACAATTACAAACAGCCACTATAATGGAAGGATTTTTTTGTTGGCTTTTAAGATGCACCAACATTTTAAAAGATAATATGGCGACTTTTCATTTTCTGCAAGGAGAAAAATTTTCTTCAATATTTCATTCTCTGTGTTTTTACCTCAAACTTGAACAGACATTAATTTTGTTTACAATCACTAATCTTCCGTTACCTAGCAGAATTGCTTCCTCACTTGAAAGAAATCAAAGTCTCTAGAGGCATCATACAATTAGAGCACGCAAGTCCAAGTAAGCCGCCTTAAAAACTTTGCCACGGAGGACTTGTGATTGAAGAAATGACAAGAAGACAAACTAAGACTATCCTTTCCTGAATTTTTTTTTTTCAGGCTGCATAACTTTATATAAATTCTCATAAATACAATAAAAGAGTCACTTACATGTATCAAACACTGCCATTTGCCTTGACGAGTTTGTGTTAACATACATGAATTGAGGTGGTGTCAGAGTTGTGTTCAAAATCTCGTAGCCGGTAAATATCGTACGTCCAATATCGTAGCCTACTCGGCCTGATCGCTCGTATGAAGCGTCGGTGATGTTATTGAAATTATCAGTGGCTCCATCACCTGGTGCCGTCACGTTATGGATGAAAGTTGTTTTATATTTCTGTGTAAGGACATTATTAATTCCTGCGGCATTCTGTATTGGTATATTACCCAGAGTTATAACTGCGTCGAGCTGTTCGGTTGTGTTACCGGTCCATTTTATTGTGTAGTCTACGTCGATTACAGCATTTAAACAAACACCGTTCGCGTCCAGGCTAGTGGTGGGTGTCTGTGATGGACAATCGTTGATTGGGGTATCAGTATTTGGTGAATCGTTGAAATTGTCACACACTGCACAGTCGTCCACACACTGTTCGCCAGTGGGCAAGTTGTAATTAAATTTATACACCTGAGTATTATCCACTAAATCATTAATTGTCTGAGTAGATTTTAAATAGGAACTTACATCTGTGGCACACTTGTATACCACAGTTGTTGTAGCTGGTACAATGCTTGAACTGCCAGCCAGAACACTAATATTGTTTATTTTATTTATGTATGAAAGCACACTTAGAACTGAAGACTGGCTGCACAATCTTTAGATAACTGAAATGTGCAGGAGGTGTCTATATCTTTCAGGTACTGCACAGGTGCTGTATATAACATGGCCACTCAAATTGGCTGAGGAAGGGTGGAGAAGGCCTTTAGTTGTCTTCATACTCACTCCCCATACTTGTAAGCACCCTCAGGTGAATCAGGCAGAGTTCTTGGCTCGAGTTCTTCTGAAATTATATTCAAGTACCTGTCACAATTCATAGTGGTCAAATTATCAGCCTTTTTCCAAATTGGAAGAAAAAGCTCTGAAAAATTCTAAATTCAATCTTAAAATCTCTTTTAAAAAATTTTGAAGCATTTCTGCAAACAGCTGATTTTTTTCAAATTATTATTTTTCCTATTTTTAAAAATTTAACCATGGTAAAATTTCCCAATTTAAAAAGCAAGGGTTACTGCAAGTAAAAAAAATATTACTGTCCAGGTAAGATGTAAAAAGCCACTGTTCAGATAAATCTTTCAATTACTCCTTACTTTTTATGAACAAGTCTTCAAGAATTGTTTTACAGTTAACTTTTACATTCCTCGAGGCGTGAAATTAACATGTTCTGGAGAGTAAGGGTAAGAATAGCCTGGGTTCCAGTCTGTCGATTTTTTTATGTGCTTCTATTCTCCAAATGATACTATACGATCAAAATCACAAACGAATTCGAAATAGCGTGTATGTTATGAATAAGCAAAAATATGTTATTTATAAGGAAAAACTATCAACCACTGAATCCCAGGCTAGGGTAACAACATTAAAAACTGAACCTGCAAAACTCTGGTTTCAACTTTAGTTCGTAGGAAATAAAAATAGAAATAACTTATAATTCAGGCCTAGTTCACGACGATATTGGGTTTAGCCCTCAGTATGTTTATATACTTTTGATAAAAGACTTACAACAATATAATTGCATTTATAAGTTAAAGTGTTACAAACCTGTACCAGTAGAAGGTTCTGGTATAAAGTCGATTAAGGAGAGCTTGACCATTCTCCGCAAGCTTGTACTGCCAATCATAGAAGTAACCAAGGAATGCATTATACTCAAACACTACACATAAGAACGGGAACCAATCAGGTTTATTATGGTGTTTGGATGAACATTCATACTGCTGGTCCTCGGCACTCTGCCCTCCAGGTAAAAACGGGATGCAGCGATCAAATGTTTGTTTCTCATCACTACTACAGTCCTACAAAATAAAAAGTTGTTTTTTTACACAGATATGAAATCAGAGCAGTACATACTAGTTTATCCTCTACTTAAGTTTATTTATTCTTCAATTAAAGAACAAATAAAAGAACAAAAAGTTATGAAATGACTAGTTTAAAGCAGGGTTTACATTTTTATCTGAGGCAACAGATGTGTCAATGAAAATAACCAATTTGGCAAAGGGCCAAGAGGGATATTTTAAACTACAAGTTGAAAATACAACCGATTTTAACAGCATTTCAACCAATGACATGAATCGCCAGTCTATTAATAATTAAAATATCTGTAAAGCCTGAACTATAGCTGCATAACATACATCTACTACTGTTGATTTTTTCTACTTTAAGCATTATGATAATGAAGAGCAGAGCAGGTCAATAAGATTAACCTTGAGTCCGCTGACAGCAACATATTTTACCCATGTGACCAGTGCAGACCATGATAAATCAATGCATCTGTGTTGTCTGATCATGGTCTGCACTGTATGCTATCCAATCTGTCATATTTAAATTTTTTCATTTAAAATGAACGACTAAATCTGTATTGACAGATGGGCAAATCCATTTAAGGTAATTTATGTTGTAATGGTAAACTTAGTGAGATATTCTCGAATAATGAGTCTATACTTCCTGTCACTTCAATATAAGAAAATTTGTATGGACAAAGACTCATTTTTTTCATAGATAAGGGGAGAGTCCTCCTTCCCTTCATTGTGATGGAAAATTATTTTTTGCAAAAAATGACAAAAAAAACAAACAAACTTGGAAGTTTATTAAATTTAAGTGAAAATCAGCATGACTTAAAGAGAAATTTCCCTACTTTTTTTTTTTTAAGACACCAGTAAATAAGACCCTGCAAGAGGTTTAAGAGGAAAAAATTCATGAATCTTTAATATTTGGCTTATAAGTGATTTGTTATTTTAAAAATGTTGAAATAAGCACAAGCTTACCCCATCACAACAGCATCTTATATCACAGGATCCCTTTGTTAGATCACAAGGACAAGGTGCTACATCTTCAAATGCAGCATTTGCTATGACAGTCTGAGCTGTATCTGAAAATCATAACAATCAACATTGATTAATTTATACAAATAATAATGTCAAATTTGTACTCAAAATGACTTGTTTAATTGTCTCTTCAGCAATGATCTACTGAAAATATGCTAAAATTAATATGTTTGGATTGTCATCACACAAGAGTATCTTGGTATAACAAACTTATTATGAACATTATTCCTTTACAACAAGAACATCACATTTTTCATTAAAATGCCTAACTGTTTGTACCAACGCACAATGAATCTAAGTATTATATCATAAACTAGAATTAAGAATATGTACCTCATGGATTTTTAGATACTAGTATTACTACAGCATTTCAAGCCCTATTGTAACCATGGACCAATTACCAGGTGTTCATAGTTTACCCTCCAAATCATAATCAAGGTAGTAAGCCACTTTGAATTCACTGCACAGTTCAGCCATCATATCATTCCTTTACAGGCTGTCAAGCAGTTTACCAGAACTAGTTGCCTCCACTTTCTAACGAACAGATAATTTCTGTACATGCCAGAGCAGAGGTATGGTGCCAATAACCACCAGGAACCTTCAGGCCAGCAAATTCACAGATTAATGCTTTACTTATTGAGCTAACCAGACAGTCTTGTGGGAAAGGCAGGACTTTGCCAGTTTGACTTTTTGATTTTCTACTCTCTGGTAAAGTACTTGTAAAACCCCAAATTAAATTCAGAGCTATCATTTTGGACATAACCACAGATATTTTGGCAAAAATAAAACTACCACATGGACCCAGATAAGGCATTTAATATTTTGAGTGGGAAAATATTTTATTCTGAAGTCAATTCCTGACTAAATAAGGCACACACCCCATGTGCAAGACCTGTAAAGCATGTGTAGGCAAACCATTCACATCATTTAATGTCTTTTTTTATTCATCAATAAAAACAAAATGATATGTTCCTAATGTTTCCATTGACAAAAGAATCAGTTGATATTAAATTTTAAAAAAGCAGCACTTATTTGTAAGGTATTATATGTTTTGAGTGATCCACAACTACTTGAGTGACAAGTTGTTTAGATAACCTTTGTTTTCAATGAAGGCATTAAAGCTGCATACCTCGAGATGAGTCAAAATATTTCAATAAAACCAAACTTGAGAAATATGTACAACAATTTTAGGAAAAGTAAAATGATTCAAGAAATATTTTTTATGTTATGTGCGTAAATTTTCAGATTTTTCAGTATTTACAACTTTATTTCTACTGCATTGCTAACACAGTTAGGCCAAGGGCTATTTATTTATTTTAGATTTGATCTATTTGAGTTTTGGTGTGGGAAGACCATACTTCGGTAGGGAAAAGAGTCAACTCGGCCCTATACCAACTCGGCACGGGTCAACTCGGCCCACTTTACAAAAATATATATAACGTATTAACTTTGCTTTGCATGTTGTAAAGGTAAATGAATAATAAGAAATATCTTTAAAAAAATATTATATAATTATACATTGTACTTCTGCCGAAATAAAGTATATTTAGAAAAAAAATTGTTATTTATTTGTCTTGCAGATTCGATAAAATTAATATAGATCTAAAAAATTATGTTTCCTTAGATGCATTTTGTTTGTAAAGTAATATTAAAAAAAATAAGAAACAAAAACGTGTTTACTTAATATCATAAGCTTCTATATAAGCACTGTTTGCTCTTTGTTATGTTTATAAACTCTCTCTATCTAGTAAATAACCGAGGTAAATCTAGTGAAAAAATAACAAGAGTTGTTTCCCTTCGCTTGCAAAAGAATGCAAATTTAGCCGTGTTTAAATCGCTAGTGCGATTTAATGTCCGATTTTAAAATTTATTACACCAATTAAAAGCTGGTGATCTTAGCTTCCTCTAAGTATATTTCAACACATTGTTTGACACTGAAGGTATTTAAATTTACCGTTAAACCTACCACGAGTCAGAAATACAGTGAGATACTCAATTGGTTATCTTTACTAGCAATTCTTCTGTTTAGAAAATCCTGTCTGCTGCTAGTTCGGACACTGTCAATCTGTGTATTATAAATTATTACAATAATTATGTACAATAAATAGTAATAACACAAACCTAAATATAAATAATTGAAAAGTGGGCCGAGTTGACCCGTGCCAAGTTGGAATAGGGCCAAGTACGTTTTAGGGCCGAGCTGACCCGGATTCCTTCGGTAGATGTACTTTGGAACCATATTAAAGCTGGGGTCTGACTAATGTCAGTGATTTTTCTCACTTACTTGGGAAGAGGCCTGAGCCTCTTGATTTTGGGAAAAATTATTGCTAAAATTGCTGATTTGGGAAGTAAAAAAGCTGGTTTAAGTTCAGATTTTTGGGAAAACTGCATGATTTTAAAGAAAATTTCAATTGGGAAGAGGCCTTTTTTCGTAGTCTGTTATATAAGTAAGAAAATCACTGAATGTCTGGTAAGTGATGGATTTAATGGATTGGGACTAAACCTTTATGTTTCTGCGAAGGAAGGGTACATATAATACCAAATGACACCTTTAAAACGGAAAAATGAAAGGATTTTTATTACCGACTCGCGACTTCCCCGTTCATAGGCTTTGCCTAATTTCATAGCGAGCTCGACGAGCTGGCCCGAAGGGCCTGCTCGCAAAGCGAGCTTTACGGTAACGCGAGTACCTGCTAAGTGATGGTTTTGAAAACTTTCGTCCAAAGTACCGAATTGGACACATCGCAACCTTTCGAATTTAAAGATAACGATAAAAACTGAGGAATTCTGACTGAAAACGGATGTGTAGACTGGTCACCCGCGCACGTTTATGGGAACCATAATTGGACAGGGAACCTGAATAACGGAAGCTGTGTATAAAAAATAAAAATCGAAGGCGCCATTTTGTTTGAAATCTGATAAATAAAAACAATTTTTTGTCGAATTTTGTTGTTAAAACTATCTAGAATGGAAGAAAATGGTCTAACTAAGAAAATGAATCCGAACACCAATATCTTTTATTCAGTCGTTAACGCTGTACAGACGTTTAAAGTATTGTTTACGTGACGTCACAAGTAGCGCCAAACAGCACGTGCAAAACAAACAAATCAAGTACGCTATTTTAATGTCGCAAACGTTTTAATTTTTACATTTATTTCACTTTAAATAATCTTTATTTCGCTTGAAAAATTATAGAGTGAAATAAAATAAACAAAGTTTTATCAATGTTTTTAAAACTCGTTATTCATTTCACGACAGGGGCGGAGCCATATTTAACACAGTACGTGTGACGTCACACGCACTCGTTACTGCATTTTAAATAAAAATGAGCGATTATTTCATACTATTTCACGTAAAAAGTACATCGAGCTCGCTTTGAGGCTTTGCCTTTTTCATATTATTAAAATTTTCTATGAAGATTGGCAAAATAAATTGTATTTAAAGTATTTACTGAGTATGTACGCTTACTTTGAGTTATTACTGGTGTAAATGTCAGCAAAAAAATAAATAAATGAAACATGTCAGGTGTCATTTTCCAAAAGACATGTCAAATACTTCGATGATTTAACTTTCAAACGAGCAAGAACATGCAAATCTTCCCATTTCCCACCATTTGTTTATGTGTCACTACGACTTTTGTAACGAGTAATCTGATTGGTTAAAAGTTAATGTCGTAAAAAATATGATACTGAAAAAACTCATATTTCAGTTTCATTTGTTTATTTCCAGATTTTCAAATGTTTTAGTTTCATCTGTTTTAGTTTGAATATTTCAATCGAATAGGTATTTTGATCCGCAAAGTCGTAAATCTCCAGAACGGTAACGGTTGTTGGTAAACAAAAGCAGCACGTGAAACTGTCAAAACAGTAAACACAGTTACATTTTAACAAAACTTGAATGTAGGTGAAAAACTTGGGAAAAAATGGTGGAAGTTTTGAAATCTACATTTAATGAGCAATATCCAACAATTGTTGAAGATGTCAAACATTGTGATTTCATTGGTAAATTTTCTGATCTTTTATGTAGGACCAGAGTGAAAAGCTGAACAAAATAAAAATCAAACCAAACGATCAGACTTAAGTTTAGCATACATGTGAACTTTTTTTGATGATCAAGTGGGTGATTTTTCTTCAAAAAGAGGGAGATTCTAGAATTTGCAATAAACAAAGAAGGAAGTTCTGACATCAAAAATAGGGAGATTTCTTTAATTTGTGAAAATACCCCTTATTAAGGTGATTCTGCTTTGTCAGCCATGTTTGTTTTCACTATGTGGGTCCAAAGTGAAAGTAGGCCAAAATTCATATAACAACAAAGCTCACATTGTTATATGATGAGCCATTTGCAAGTACACATCCAGTTCTATGTTTTAAAGACTATTTTAAACAAAAATAAAAATGATAACAATAAGAAAAATTACCTTGAATGTGCTACATTTCTGAAGACCAAAAACATTCTGTTGCTAAGTTTTATGCACATTTCATGAATGGCAAAATCTTTTTTAAAGTCTGTTTTAGTGCCTACAAAAGCTACTTTTTGCAGAAAATACAAAAAACTTTGAAAAATATAAACCTTAGGAAAGTAGTTTATCTGACCTTGAAAAAACATGGCCACCATGACATGTGTAAAAAAGTAGTACCATGAAAAAAACATAATTTATCTATCTCTTGTGTACATGACAAACAGACACACTTCACTGTTACACATAAAAAAGGTTAGATTTTAAAGTTTGATTGTGTTTTCATTTTAATTGTAGTTCATAAGGCTATAAATGATGATTGTTTTCTTGCACTACTTTTTTACAAAAAATAATGGAGGCCATGTGCTTAGAAGGACATGAGATATGGATTTATTTGGAGTTAAGTTTTGAAAGATTTTTGTATTTGCTGCAAAAAATAGCTTTTGTAGGCACTAAAACAGACTTAAAAAAGGATTTTGCCATTCATGAAATGTGCATAAAACTTTGCAACAGAATGTTTTTGGTCTTCAGAAATGTAGCACATTCAAGGTAAATATTCTTATTGTTATCATTTTTATTTTTGTTTATAATTGTCCTTAAAATATAAACCTGGAAGTGTACTTTCAAATGGTTCATCATTTTAAAATAAGAGCTTTGTTGTTTATGAATTTTGGCCTACTTTCACTTTGGACAGACTTTGTGAAAACAAACATGGCTGACAAAGCGGAATCACCTTAAGTTATTTTAAGAAAAATCTTTGAAAAAATGGCTCCAAAAAATGGGAGTCTCCCCCTTAAAGTAGGAGAGTTCACATGTATGGTTTAGACATTTTAAATTTAGCTGCAAATGAAACTGAAAAATACAGGTGTGAATGTATTTTTTTTATTTAGAAATAATTTATTTAAAATTTGAGATTAGTCCAGATACGTGTATATTGATAAAGATCATTTGATGTGACAAAGCTTGATTCAAAGATATTTTTGTTCTGGATAACAATCTTGCTTTAAGAGGGCAGATATTGGCCAATTACAAAATAGCACAAGATCTCAATGTATAGTGCAATGAAGTTGGACTATTTCTTAGATAAAACATAATTATGTAATCTATAGCCTAAAATTCTTCTTTATTTATTCAGTAAGATTATTTTAAGTTTGTATTTCAGCACTTGACACAGAATTTACTGGCTTAAAGATTAATGAGCAGCTGAAGTCAAAGTGAGTAAATTGTTTGTTGTTTTCCCATTAATGTAAAAGCCCATGTTGGGATTGATAATTGTGTATTGGGTCATGTTAGGTGACTTCTTTCTCAGACAGTTATCACTTAAGTATGGATAGTGAAAGTCTAATACCACTGAACGAATTTGAAGTAACAACATTAAAGCGAGGATTTTGATGCTGTACTACCACTCGACTACTTCATCCCCGCCCCCTCCTTTCCAATGAGTTGACAGGGCCCTCAAGTGAAAAATTTTGCAGAATTGAATCTATCAATTTGACTATGGTCACCACTGTTCCTTAGTACTTATTTTGAAATTTTACCTAAACTAACATATGGTTTTGTAAAGATTAGAGATTGAAAGTAAGTCCATTTTAAAATGTTTCAGATTAAATTGAATTCGTGTGTAAATCTATAAAATAGAAATGTATCATTGCTGTTTACAAATGAGTATCATCAGTTTGAACAGTATTTATGTACATGTAATACTATATCAATTATGACAGTTATTTGGAAGTAATAAATGGCCTTTGTTAACACTATTTTGATGCAATTGAATAGATTGATGTTCTTTAGTTTGAAAGTACATAGTTGTCTTTATTCACATATCATGGGTTAACTGCAAAACTGTATTAACTTGAATGAAATAAAGAAGGACAAACAACAGTTTTGCAATCAACTCCCCAATATAGTCTCTAGCAGGTATTTGAATGTAGTACAGTACTATCATGAATAGGTTACTTAGTAAGGAAATAAATAATGTTCTTTTATATATTTTAGATTGTTTGATGATGGGGCTGAAAGGTACCAAAACTTGAGGAAAACTATAACACAAATTACCATTTGTCAGTTAGGTATGAAAGGTTTTAATTATCAAATTAGATTGTGTGTGCTTGATCTTTACAAGGCTAATGAACTGGTCAGTCAATTTTATCCAGGCTGACATGAGGTAAATGATACATGCTTAAAGCTTCTCTCGGAGACATCCCACAGCTTGGTCATTTTTTTGATTTAATTTCTTGCTAAGAATACTTTGGGATATCAATGTACATTGTAGCTGATCTCACTGTCTGAGCATTTTTTGTTTGGATTTTACCCTCTGATTATCAGTCGATTTACCAGACTTTTGCATTCCAAAGTGAAATGTTGTGTAGACTAGAAGTTGTAACAAATGATGGGTTTCATTATTGGGTTTCTTTATTATTTTCATAGGCCACATTTTTGAAGGTATAAACTTGTTATGTAAATTTTGTAAGATTTCACCAGTGATGATTTTGGCTATTTTCCCCTCTTTTTCATTCATATCTGTATGTTTAAAGTTTATGAAAAGAATTAAGCAATTTACAACTTTTATGTTCTGTGTAATGTTTTGCATGTACATGTGACTATTATCTAAAATATTGCTGAATTTAGTGTTTTTCCTTCCCTACATGTATACACAGTTACATGTATTTCTACTTTTACTGATGGAGTAGGTTCTATTTTTACATACAGTATTTTGAAACAGAGAATGTCATTTGTGTGGAATATGTCATTAAAATTTAGCATGGAATATTAGAGTCGTAGAGCGGTCGTAATACGTAGTGGAGGGTCGGTCGTAATTTCGGGCCTTACGACCATTGAATTATATAGGCAAAAATTCCGGACCGGAAAAAAGTGGTTGTTATATCTAATTGCCCGCAATTTAGGGTAGGTTGTTAAGCGAGACTTTACTGTAATTGTTTCATTGGATTTTCACATTCTGTGTATGATGATTAGCAATTGCTACTAAATAACTGGTTTCAGTTTTGCCATTTTTATTGAAAAAAGTCTGAAATTTCATCTGATGCCTTAATGAATGGCACAATGATTTTTGTGTCACCTCTACGGAGTAGTGGCGACATATAGGGATCACTTCTCCATCGTCTGTCCGTCTGTCTGTCCGTCCCTCTCAAAACTTGTCTGGACTACTCCTCATAAACTACTGGTGCAATTTCATCCAAACTTTACAGGAATGATCAGTGCCAAGTCTAGTTGTGCATATTGTGAGCATTTTCCGGTTCAATGATTTTTGTAATAGTTATGGCCCTTCAATAATTTTTATCCGGACTACTTCTCTTATACCACTAATGCAATTTCAATGAAACTTTACAGGATTGATCTGTAGCTCAAGTCCTTGCGCAAATTACACGGGTTTTCCGGTTGAATGATTTTAGGCTGAGTTATGGCCCTTTAATAAAAAGGTGTTTTTTTTTGTGTGCTGCCAGATACACAAAAGCTTGTCCTGACTACTGCTCATAAACTACTGGTGCAATTTCATCCAAACTTTACAGGAATGATCAGTACCAAGTCTAGTTGTGCATATTGTCAGCATTTTCCGGTTCAATGATTTTTGTAAGAGTTATGGGCCTTTAATAATTTTTATTTTTAAAGTTTGTCCGGACTACTTCTCTTATACCACTAATAGTTTCAAACTTTACAGGAATGATCAGTACCAAGTCTAGTTGTGCACTGTCTGTCTGTCCATCTGTCACAAAACTTGTCCCCACTACTCCTCATAAACTACTGAGGCAATTTCATCCTAACTTTACAGAAATTTATTTATGTTGCCACTTCTCTGATCACTTCTCAGTCTGTCAAAAAAATTGTCCCAACATAAAATTGGCCATCATGAGGCGACACATCTGATCACTGATCGCTCTTGTTGTTGATTTTACATTAGGTCTTTTTACATAAATTATATTTACTGCTGTTGCCTTATTTTCTTCCATTGTTATCAAATACATGTATGATTTTTTTTGTTTTTTTCAGGATTATCTATATTTTCCAAAGTTAGTGATGAAAACAGGTATGTTGTAATATAGAAATGTAAGAGTGTTACTGTATCACTAGCTTACAGAAACAGTGTTTTCAACAAAAAAGCTTAGTAACTTCTTAAATTAGTGTGGCTGTTGTTAAACCAGTATTAATTTTATAGGTTTATGAAAACATAATTTCCATAATGCATTAAGAGCTTCTATTCTTCGTCATGGTCCATTACCTCTCTGCATTTTAGAGACATGATTGTTGACTATGGGATTGGGAATTTTAGTAGTGTTTTACTAAAAGCACCTGACCGCCTCCGTGGTCGAGGGGTTAGAGTCGATGACTTCTAATCCAGTTACCTCTCTGGTGTAGGTTCAATAACCCGGAGCGTTTGGTAGTTTAGCACGGAGGAAGGTAGTCTAGTACTGGTGTAACTTTCCAGGAACGACGGTGAGGAACCTACCCGCCTATATGACTGAAATACTGTTGGGAAAAGGCGTAAAATGAAACAAACAAACAAACTAAAAGTACCTGGTACTCTCATACTTTGTTTTCCATGTGGAGAAACTGTTGGCCTTGGGTATAACATTAGATTTGTGGTTCTAACAATATGCCTTTTTGTGTCTAAATTAATACACACTGGGACATTTTGTGATCTTTCTCAACCAGCATTGCTAGAAAGTCAAAGTAAATCCATCAGTACAATTTTGTGACTGAAATCCAGCAAGAATATTGGAAAAATAGAATTTTGTTTGTTTTGTTTTCAGGTATGAAGCAAAAACCTACAATTTTTACCTGTATCCACCAACATTCGGACCTGTAGATGAGAGATTTGTGTGTCAGGTATTAACATGTTGTTTTATGTACAGATCTAACATCTAATCAATTATAATTAACATGCAAAATAGATGAAAATCAGTGATCATAAATGCCATATTACCTCCTGGACCATCCTTGAAATCAGGTGACTGTCTAACACATTATGGCATGTTACCCATGTATTATCATAAATTGTAAGTTACTAAGGGGCTTCATGGCTGAGTGGTAAAGGTGGCTGACTTAAAGGCCCATAAGGCCTTAATAATGTTATAAAAAAAAATTTCAAAAGTTTTTTTTATTTTTAGTGGCCTGTTATTGTTTATTAAAGCTAATCACTGGTCACATAACTGAGTCATTTCGTGCTTCATTTTGGCAAAAGCACAGTTTTAGAGATTTCATATTTTTTATTGAAGTCAAAAATCCAATATGTGTACATTTTGTTACCTTTATTACAAATGATTTCTCATTCAGTGATATTTTCTTCCAATGATAAGCATCTTAAATGTTTAAGATATTTTATTACAACATTATAAAACACACACCTGCCTATTCTTATTAGAAAGAAAAAAAAATCTCATTTCTCAGGCTTAATGTGCCTTTAAGAACAAACTTTAATTTCACAATGGAGCTTTTGACACTTTTTGCAAGACTGTGAGAGCGAATTTGAATATCATGTAAATTTCATTTAGTGGCCTTTGATACCCCTTTCAAAACTAGGAAGGGGAATTATGTTACTCTTGAAGGGGGGATAATGAAAGGGTTTTTAATTCTGTTTGACCGTATCTCATAACTATCGTTGTCTCCCGCTTATTTTTTACATCAGACAAAAGTCTGAATTTAATTTACAAAAAAAAACAGCACTTATTATCTAAGTAATAATATGTATTTCTATAATTTTGTGTTGTTTTTTTTTTCAGGCCTCCAGTTTAAAGTTTTTGTGCTCGTATGATTTTGATTTTAACAAGGTATGTTCCTGAAATAATGATATATTTGGATATTTTGTTTCCACTTTCTAAGACTTTTGTATAAATATAAGAAAAATAATATGCTGTTTATAAATTAATGATTGTGTGTGATGTACATAACAGGGGCATATGTGGATGAGCAGTTAAGATTGTTGACTTCTTCTAACCATTTGCTTCACAAGCGTCATTATTTCTACATGTAAGAAAGTTATCCAGCTAGCTTACGGAATGTGAGTGGTTCTACTTGGGTGCCTGTTTGTGACTTAAATAATGTACAGACTTGCATCTGAGATCTTTCTCCACCAGTAAAGCTGGAAAGTGGCCATATGACCTATACTGTGTTGGTGCGAAGTAAAACCCAACCAAAAAAAAAACCAAAAAACCCCACTTACTTGTTTTTGTCAAATCTCTGTGGCCAAGTATTTAAAGTTGCCGCCATCAAATCACTTGCCCCTCACTTCTTTGGGTTCAAATCCTATGTAATAAATTGACTGGCTATTAGTCACTTAGGATTACTCCTTAGCTTATAAGCCCGGCCTAAATTCACCTTTCATCACCTTTTTGTTATTATTTTATATAGTTGATTATTTATATTCACACAGTTTATATATGAGGGAGTTTCATACATGAATGGCAAGCAGGAAGAAGACATTAGGGACCATATGGCTAGCAAAGCCATGTTTGCTGGCTTAGAAAGGTAAGTTTAAATTTCAATACTTGTTTTCCTTAGTATGATAAGATGAACATAGGAAAAAATTGATACATACATCTCCTGTTGGAAGGATCTTTATATGTCATGTTCTCGACATATTGTCCAACATTGATTATGTGCATGCCAAAGCTTTCAAATTTATTTTGAAAAACGAATGAACTTAAAAGTACTGTTTAGACTGTCTAAACAAATTGTTTGTAGCCAAACTCTGTCCACAGTTTCCCTATTATAACCCTCTAAAGCATATTTATGTGGCAACTTCCTGTGCAATGTGGTCCACTTAGTCAATCATATCATTGGCATTGTATTTCTGAGACTTACATCTACTCAGATATCAAGAATCAATTGAAGTAAGTAGATCAACAATAAGAAATATAGCAGGTATTGGAATGAAAGGTTGCTTACAAGCTGTAATGCACTGTATCATTGTATGATTAGGAATTGCAGACTTGAGTAATTGATAGAACTTCCGGAGAAAAGGAAAGTCCTTCAAAAGTAATGAAATAAAAAATAAATACATGAAAAGTAGAAACTCAATAACACCTGCTTATTTAGTATTCATTATTCATTGCCAGTGATTTTCCTGCTCATATAAGAGACTCCAATAAAAGGCCTCCTCCCAATTGAAATTTTCTTTAAAATCATGCAGTTTTCCCAAAAATCTAAAATTAAACCTGCTTTTTTATACTTCCCAAATTTGCAATTTTAGCAATATTTTTTCCAACAATCAAGAAGCTAAGGCCTCTTCTCAATTAAGTGAGAAAAACCACTGATTGCTAAAAGGTATTGAAATCATCCGGAAAAAATACTATGGCACTGAAGTATGGGGCAAATATTCTCTGTTTCATTCATAAAGTATAAAACCAATATTCATTCAATTTTATTGAATTATTATTTGCAGAAATTTAGATGAGAAGAATATAGAACAGATATGTTCAAAAGTTGCTAAATGGTTTGTTGATGAAGAAGATATCAAAGTGATGGTTTTAGAAAAACAAGGTACATGGACAGTTTAATAATCTTTCTAATGAATTTTTCCCAAGCATACTTCATTTATCAACAAGATTTCATTTTAAAGGTATTCTAAGAAAACCAGGTTTTATGATAATACCTTGTCACTTGTTTTTTTTCTTTCTTTATTTTCAGAGATGAAGAGAATACCTATGTATATTTTAAGTACAGAACTAAAAGGAAGATTCCCAGCAATTTGGAC